ATGGAGTGACGACCTGGTAAGACATGCAGGAAAGTCGATGGATGCAGGTGGCTCAGGACCGTGCTTTGTGGCATTGCTTAGGGGTGGCCTATGTTCAGTAGTGGACTTGTGAAGGGCTGTAAATGATGAATGATGATGATGAAACTTAAAACACGATAGTCTATCCACACTGATACACTGATTGTACCTGAATTATACTTTGCCATCATACTATCTTATAAATACACATTATCACGGAAACATATAGAATATTCAAGTAAAAACGCGACGCTATCGACTAGGCGCCTAAAACATTTATTATATATGTTTATAAAATTGGCTGTAAGTTGTAGGATATTGATGTCGCTTTGTGGTCGCAATATGAGTCATTTTGTAGCGCTCCGTTACCCGACACAGATGGCGCTAGTGCCAGACGTCAACTTAGGCGCGCAACACTATAAATATTAATGCATTTGTTGTGCGATAGAGCGACACCAGTCACATCTGAACTTATCGTGTCTGAGTACCAATGGGTAAAGTTTTGCTTGTCATAGTTTTAGTGTAATAATAGCGCCATCAATTACTGCTAAATAAACAAATAATAAGTACATAACTGGTAAAATTAAACACAATTATATTAAATATGTACTTGTGGCAGGATCAAAAATTGCCAGACCGGTATAGACCGGTAGCCAATGTCCGCATGATTTATCATAACTATTTGATCAAAGTAACTTACCTATAAGTGTCCTTCGATCAAAATTATATGAAGCAGAATAGGGTTGTACACAGAGGAGGCGTCAACTTCATATAATTTTGATCGAAGGACACTTACAGGTAAGTTACTTTGATCAAATAATGATATTCGTTGACGGCTCCTCTGTGTTTGTATACTATGTAGATGTTTAAAGATTTGATTGCTTCATTTTAATTATTTACTGTCATAAAATACCATAATTAAAAATTTACAACCAAATAAATATTATGCGTAATATATAAATTTAGATAATATAATTTCACATTATGAATTATTGTTTATTTATTTTATACTTTTCAAATGCTCTTAATTATATATGGCCTCTTATAAGAAACGGAAAAACTTTTGGATGTAAGATTGTTGTCATTCTAATACTTATCATAACAATATCATCAATACCACTTCTTCTAGGACGAGAAGGGGATGAATGCCTGGTACTATGTAGTGTAAAAAGTAATGTATGTTCTTGTTAAAATACTTTACCTAACTAGCTATTTGATTTATTGCAGGGATATTAAACAGTTTTCAAAATTAACAAAAAGTTTATTAAATTTCATACAGTTTAAGTGACATACAAGTGATATTGTGAGGTAACTGATATAAGTGGCAAAATTAAAATCTTTGCACAACCGACATCAATATAAATAAAATAAAAAGATCATCAATGTAATCAAAGTTAATCAAATACGCATTATTAAAGACAACTCAAAAACTACTAATCAGATCCCGATTAAATCTACATGAGATCACACTTGAAGCACCAGCTTTCAAATAAAAAAAGACTCATACAAAATCGGCTCACCCAGTGAAAAGCTGTGAGGCAACACACATAAAAACATACAGCAGAACTGAACACCTCCTCCTTCTTGAAGTCGGTTAAAATACTCATATTTTCTGTTACTGCTGTATATTTCTTTGCTTTTCTTTTTGATAAAAATTCAGCTTTTTGCGTGATTGAACTCTAGTTTTTATTTTTCTTCCTATAAACACCAGAAATGAACTGTTCAACTTCACAGTATGAGCACAAATCATAATAGAAAGAACAATAAGTAAATTTCTTTCTTTATCTACCACGACTTTAGATAATATACAATTTGTATATACAGACAAGGGCTTATTTTTATGCTTTACATGCATAAATACCTCTTTTACAGCACTGCCACAGCAAGGTAAGTTTAGATCAAAGGAGATCTTACATAATAGTTGTTGACCAGGGTAAGAATTTTAATAATTCGTTTTTTTAACAATGTTTTAGTAACAGGTTTATGAAGACTAGAAGATTATTACTTCTTCTGTATTCCGTTTGAAGATTGTGAAGTATAGTGCATAAAACTTAAGGTTGACCTATGAATTTTATGCATTTATATTTTTTCTAATAGCAAATGCATGAACTTAAGTTTATCTATTGATTTTGGTTAAAATCTTATAGATAATCTTTTTATAGGTTTAGGAATTTGATTCCCATTTTATTTCGCCATTAGTTTTCCTGGATTCTTTGCATACGAGAGAATTACCTTAAGATGTTATACATAAGGCAAAAAAGAAATACATATATTTCACCAGATCAATTTTACAAGCTATGTCACTTGATGTGGTTATTATATGACACCCATGTGGTTTATATATGATATAGCTGTAGTGTTATAAGAAATTTTAACTATGGAGATTATATCAAAACATTATGATCCAAAGTAAAAATTAAAATATGTTGTATCTTACTTAAGACCATGTAGTTTTTTGACCAAATAACAATATCACTTTCATTATATACTGAAAAGATTTTTATTTTATAAGCACCCCCTGTAATTGAATTACTTGAAATCTGAATATGATTTTTAGTATTAATTTAGATTCAAAATGATTCTTTTTTGATACATTTTATTTATTTTGTATACATTTACCCATAAAAGGTAGCTGGACAGACAGATATTAATTTGCCCATTAAATAAGCATATTTCTTATATGATTGTAGTGGATTGTAATTGAATAATTGACCTATCGTTCATGTGAAATATTTGTGTTTCACTTTAGGTATGAAAATGCTATAATTTTATATGTTCAAACCAAGTTATTTAAATGTACTTTTAAGGTATTGATTTTTTTTTGAATTAACTTACCACTTTCCACTTTTTCTGAATCTCTTCATCCATGTATATATAATATCATGGTATTTACCAATAAGTATAAACAAAATTATGACTAATCTTGTTTTAATTAATTTTACAGCTGTATTAAATACAATATTTCCTGACATAATAAACTCAATATATGTAAGATGACATGCTTGACTCACACTAATGTATTGTTTTCGACCTACTATGAGAAAGTTATTTTTTTGAAATAATATTTTAGACCATTTGGAATAAAATGAAGTCAGGTTTTGTACGTGGTAGAGCCATGTTGCAGTTATATTAGTAGTATAGTAGTAGCACGAATGGGTCGGCTCGACCGGGGAAGGACCACGCTCTCACAGAATACCAGCGTGAAATAGTAGCTTAATGCTGCTGTGTTTCGTATTGTGAGTGTAGAGAACCGGCGACCTTTTTTACTGGAAACGAGGCATTCAATCTTAGTCCTCACGGTTGACAACCTACCCTACAAATTATTTAAATGCAAAAATTTCATACATTGCATTCGTCCAAAACGTTCATGCGTGTTAAGTAAGTAAGTTTTTACATGTGCTATTATTAGCACATGCGCATTAAATTAAGAACATTCACTTAAAAACCAATTTTAAACTTTTTGATTCGAAGATGCGATTCGGCACGTAAAATTCACAATGACATGAGGTGTATAGTGTTACCAGTGATACCAGCAAAAATAATATTTTTCCCCCAGGAGGTTAAAACTCGTGCGATTCGGTCTGTTATTTCATGACTACATAGTATACAAACACAAAGGAGGCCTCAACGAATATAATTGTAAATTTAAGCAAAATTACTAATAAAACTGTGTACACAAAATTTTGATCAAGAGGACGAATGGATGAGTAATTGAAAATTAAATACAATGTGAGGTTTTTATCCATAATTTATGGAATAGTCCGTGATACCGTTGACGCAACTTTTTTACTTTTAATGAGATTTTAAAATAGTTTGTCATATATTAAGATAGCTTTCATATTTTCAGACGTAACTATCAGAATTTTTGTGACAGTCCCGGTTTCATAGCTCATCAAAGAAAGGAAATTCTAAACACGGGTTTATTTGTATTTTAACTATAATTATAACTGCATTGATAGAATGAAATTCATATGTATACGCCGATAATCAAACCGATCTAAACCTAAATTTCGTAGAAGATAGTTAAGCAACCCAATTTAGATCCACGCCGACTCCACTCATATTTTAACTGCAATTTGAAGTTTTGTTTTACCACGTTCTAGGTGGTGAAGAAAAAGTACGCTACGAAACCTGCATATCTGAGAAATAAAAATGTTAAGTCGGTCATACCGCGTTGGAGTCAACTTAATCAATTCCTTTTTTCCCTAAAACTCGTTGTGGCCTTTGCCCAGTAGGATGAATTTAGGCTGATACTTTTTACTTTTAATAGGGCTATTCACTGCTGGTAATAGGCTTCCTCCATTGTTCGTCAAATAGACCTCCGATTTTATAACGTGTAGAAAAAGGCATTATTATATATTTTTCAACATTGAAATTGCATAATTATATGCTTACAAATAGTTCTTTGATTAAATAATTAATTAGTATTCAGTTTGTTATTTTTTTCTTTAATTATTTTATAGGAAAATTAATCAAAGAAAATTTTTCTAAAGATTTTAATAAAATTTACGTATTTACAATTCAAATAAATAAAAATTAACTGTGTGATAAAATTTAGATAAACAGTATTTTTAAATCGAGTTTCAACAAGTTGAACTTAGATATAGTACAGAAATAGGTCTAAAATTAGTGGGGTCCAATGTACTACCAGATTTCAATAAAGGTATAACTTAACTATGATTCATTGAATGAGGAAAAACATTGAACATTTAAAATAATAGCAAGTTGGGGTGCGATTGCATCTATTTCAGTTGCCGTAACTTCCCCCATAGATCTGCTGATTTTCTAAAAATAATAGTGTTCTCTTTCTAAGTTTTATAAAATTCTTAATAATATTTTATAAAACCAAATATATGAAATTCAAATATTGAATAGTCAGTGTCAAATAATAATGCAAAAGTAACTAAAAATATATTATATTTCACTTTACAATTAACATTTTTGAAACATTACTTTGACTAGACAACAATCGTCTGCGGCGATCACCACCAGCCACTGGAGTAACCACCGGCGGAGTAGCCGTACCCGCTTCCTAAACCGCCGCCTAATCCACCACCGTATCCACCGCCGTATCCACCGTTGTAACCGACAGAGTAGCTGGGGACGGATACTACTTTGTTAACGGACACAACTTGGGGCACAGAGACGACCTTGTTTACTCTGACTACTTGTGGGACGCTCACAACTCTGGGCACGTTGACGACCTTGTTGACGGAGACCACTTGAGCCGCGGGCGCGGAGTAGCCGCCTATGTCAGAGATGCCGCCTAAGGCAGAGACACCGCCGTAGCCGGAGTAGCCGCCGCCCACGGAGTGCAGCCCGCCGAGGAAGCCGCGCTTCTCGCGCACGCTCCCGCCCGCCGCACAAGCCACCAGGCACAGCACCGCGATCTGTATCCAAATTAACATAAACATTTAATTAATAAAAATATTAAAGTAATAGCTCTTACTGTATCTAACGTGGCGGAGTTACTTTGCATCTATATTATTTTTGCAGCACAATGGGTGACCGGGTCACCACGGCAAAATTCCAAGAAATCATTACCGTTGGCAAGTCTTTCTAGAGGACAATTATTCCAACCAGAAGTGCAGGTAAAATGTTGATAATAAAAATATCTGACTTGGTACAAGACGAAGTCTAAAGTGTATGTGAGGAAATCGGCGCCCACTGGCGGTTCACCATTGTGCGATTTAAAAGAAGTTTTATTCCTCGCACAACTTCCTTGTGGAATCGAATACTACCAGAGATTTTTCAGTACCAATACGACTAAGGGACGTCCAAGAAAAGAGCCTAATTCTTTTTAAATGCCGGCAAAGCATCTGTAATTCCCCTGGTGTTGCGGTTGTTCATGGGCGGCGGTAGCCACTTACCATCAATCAGGTGAGCCACATGCTTGTTTGCCGTTCTTCCAACAAAAAAATTGGTACTACACAATTTCTTACCAGCCAAGTGTGGCAAAAACAATGAGCATGTAAAATTGTTAGTCGGGAACAAAAAGTCACTTAAGTTCCTGGATGTATTAAGGATACGCCAAGGAGACATTAATAAAGTCTCATATCTTTATTTTACGTAGTTTAATCTTCTTTAGGGCAGCCAGAGCCAGAACAAGCAGACCAGTGATGAGAAGTAGTGTGTGGTGTGAGGAAATTGATACTTAATGATTTCTTATATTTACGCGAACATTACTCATTGAAATAATACTAGTTTTTACGGAATTTATCGCGTATATTTCAACTTTTTAAATACCCGACGTGACGTTTCGAACGCTTTACAGTACTCATGGTCACGGGCAGGACTGATACTTGATACTTCATAATTGATTGCCAGTCAATTAGGGTTATTAATGTTACGCTCACCGGATGTACGCAAAGTGTCGTCATCATTTAAAAAAATGCGATTTCACTGTAAGTTTTCGGTTTCTAGTGCATGAATGCACACAATACAATGCCTCAGTGCTGTTTTTTTAAGTTCTTTTACAAAGTTTCAAATTTTTTAAATATATTTTCCCTTTTAAGTGAATCCGTAGTTTTGTTAATTCATTCCTTATCAAAATAATATAATTTACTCTTCACTGTTTTAGCGAATTAACTTACTCCAGTACGAGTTCTATCACATATTTCTATAAAATCTAGTATAAAAATTTTTGGCAATAATAAGTTAATTTGGCACTATCTACAGACCTCAGTAGCTTTTTCGGTGACATTTACATTTTGTTATTAATTTGTAAAGTGATAAATAAATGAAAAATCGATTGTCACTCAAATCCAAGTGTATCCAGGTAGAATGATCTTAATTTAACTTCTAATAATTTAACGGAAATGAAAGCGATGAGGATGATTTATTTAATAAAAAATATATAAATAAATACTTCATAAATATAATGATACAAACGGAATTGATCTAAAGGTTTGGTTCTATTAATTGTATTGTAAACTAAATCAATTCATCACTTTCTATAAATCCAAAAATCTAATACTCACGAAGGCTTTCATGGTTGTGTTGACGGTTGGACGTACTGAAGAGTGATATTGAGCTGTGCACGGTGAATCTTTCGCACCAATATATATATCAACGATGCTCTATGTTGCGCAACGCGTCCTCGCCGACGAATGCCGCATAATATTTTGCTCGTGTGATGTTGTATTCATAATTTTATCAATGAATTATGTTTTCAACCGCAGCCATCTCATAAAAAAGCAAAAATTGATAGTAACAGCTGCAAGGGCTTTTTTCCACCCAATGGTACCACTATGTTGGTGCCACTCACCATAAGCAAGAGTTCGCTATGGCAGGTACCACTTTTATCAGTTTTATCGCCAAATGGCAGTGCTACCATTGCTGTTTTCCAGACTAAAGTATATAGTGAGCTTATTTAATTATAGGCTGTAAGGCATTCCATGTTAGTGTTTTGTGTTGACAACACATCAATAAATAAAAAAGGTCGCATTTTTTATTTTATCATTACTTTCATTATTTTATTCTATTAATAAATTTTGTTATCAACTGCAGCCTTACTTACTTGTAGCTCTTTGGTTCTCATATGAATAGTCATATTGGCAGTGCAAAGCAGTGCGACTCCTTTCCTGCTCAAGAGCAAGTCTGGATACTGCCATGTCTGTAGACAAACAGAGTGCGCCCATTTAATTTTATAGAAATAAGTGAGACGGAGGAGCAGTAGTACAATTAATTGTAAGTGGATAACATTGCGCATAGACAAACTAAATCGATCCGCAATTATTATGAATCAAAATATGTGAATGTTCTTACACTGCCACTACACGGGTTATACGAAGTGTGGTCTTCTGTGTATGAAGTTAGTTGTAGGAGTCTTATATGCAGTATCCACTGAAAATCAGGCTGACGAGTAGGACGTTTGATATTCTAGTATTATTAAAAGTAAACCTATTTTGAATTGATTCACTAATTATCAAATATTATGTACATGTGTAATGTTTTAATCAATAATAGGTTGTCGTACTAATCGATTTTGATCGCGGTGATAATTGGTAGCTTTGAACTCCACAGGGCATAATATTTGAAAAATTATTTATCAAGAAAGAACAAGTACACGTTAAGATATTTTCTGTACAGCACCACCATAACTTGATTTTTGATTAAACTCCAAACCCACTACATGTAGACCATACGCAATTATAATTGGACCATATACACTGTTCCGTTCGAGATTCGAACCCACGACTTTCCAGCGCCGAAATTAAATACTTAGCCACTGCGCTGTCGAGATAAAATTATAATCAAAAAGAGGAATTTATTATTACTCAATGTCTTATATGACGCTTGCCGTGTAAGTAGATCAATGTATATAAAGTAATTTATTTACATATAAATTATCGTATAAATTAAATAATTAATTATTAATTATGGCCTAGATATAGGAATTTATTGAGAATATGGTCTAAAGATGACATGAAAAATACAAAAGTCATGAGCACCAGTCCTACGCTCGATATTGTTGACGAGTGTTTTATTTATTTTTTATAAGGAGCACGCGGCTCACCTGATGGAAAGTGACTTCCGCTGCCCACGAACAACTGCAGCACCAGAGTAACTGCAGGTGCGTTACAAAGAAGTAAGTTTTTTTTGTAGGTCCTTACTACATACTAATATGGTGACTGTTAACTTACTTTTAATTGGAGCGGAGTGGGCGAAGCGAATGGGGCTCCCATGGCGCAAGAAAACAATTCTTTGAAATCTATGTCCTCCGTAACCCGTAGGCCAATTTACATAATTTTTTCGGCAATATTTGTAGCTCAACGCAGACAAGGTTTGTAAACAATAAGTAATTCAAATTCAATCCGAATTTGAATTTTTTCCTTTTACTATTTAACCAATTCGCTAATAAATTAACGAATTTATTACATGAGCTGATTAATTTGAATTGATTAGATGAGCTGATTTAATTTCCATCTGCCCAATGACACACCATATGATTGAATCATTTGTTGAAATAAAGATATTTATGACTTTAGACTTTTACTCCGCTCCGTTTATGATCCTAGCAAAAGGTTTTACCTTTGCACCTGCATCGGGCCCTAGTATCTTTTTATTTAATTTTTATCTAGTGACCCGCCCGGGGTTTGTCTAGTTGGGATCTCATAATGTGGCGTTATTTAGATTTATGATAAATAAAAACTATTTATTTTATTAATTTTTCGATTCTTCAAAAAACTCCTCCAATTCTTTCCGATATAATACAGGATATTTTTGAAATGCTCCAGAAAACGACGTCAGACGATAATTCTAAGAATACCTTTGGTGATGGGACGAAAATAAAATCGATCCCGATGAAAAAAAATGACAACGTTTATTTAGCGCTTTATTCGCGCTCTATCATGTTAGTACAGATAAATGATTTATGATAATTTCATGAAAATACTTAAACATAAAACCAGTAGTGAAACTTTAAATACTTAACACCAACTGATAGAGGTACCATTACCTAATAATTTACAACATTACCTAATAATTTACAACATTGCCTAATAATTTACAACATTTTTCTTAATACCTAACTTATTGACTTAACCTACTATTTTGCCACTGTGATAGTCTCCACCCAGCCACTTTAATTCGAATTCACAGGTTAAGTAAACCAAATACCTTCTTTCGATTCCCCGCTTATGAAAAATTTACTTAAATTATTTAGTAGACATGTTTATTATTCTGGTGTATTCAGTTACGTACCAATTTATTTTTTAACTAACATTTTTTCTTTTTACCGAATTTTTTTCACGCTCCATATTTTTGTAACTCCATGGATTATTTTTAATTCGTTCCCTTATTTCCATTAAAAAGGACCACGATAGCTGCATTTACTCTGCTGTAAAATAAAAAAATTAAAAGAAAAGAAAAGCATTAAATGATACACCAAAAGTTGCCAAAAAATCCGAAAATTAAATGTGGTGCAAGATTATAATTAAAAAAGGAAGTCATTCGATATTCATAAGTAACGTAACAAAAATGCTTAGATAGGTATTTAAATTTCTTGAAAATAGGTTCTGACTTGGCCCAGGCAATCGATTTTCAAATTCCCCATAATTTAGGGAATTCCACAAATGTGGGTAACGCTGGAGAGGTGTAAACTGCGAGGCAACACGATTCGACGGGGAGGCGGTAGTGCGTGTGTGAAAGGGAAGGGTAGAGTGAGCGTGAATACAGTAATACCTATTGCATTGTTTCGCACTGAATAGATAAAAAGAGTTCAGCGTCCACGCGTTGTTTGACTCTTTTCATGTTTGGGTTATTTCATATTTTTAATGAAATTATCTTTCATTTAGCTGTACTAAGATAATGGAGCGTGAATAAAGCTAATTAAACATTGTAAAAAAAAGTGTTGTTTTTTTCACCGGAATCGATATTATTTTCGTCCCGTCATCGAAGGTTTCCTTAGAACTATCGTCTGTCTTCGTTTTCGGGAGCATTTCAAAAATACCCTGTATATATTAAATCCCTTCTGGCATAGCTTTCTATTTGTTCGTAAAGTGAATCGCATTAGACATTCCAGAAATTAGCCCGAATAGACAGATAGACAAATATACAACTGATAAAATTAAAAATTTTGCACAACCGATTTCAATATAAACGAAATGAGAACATCAGCAATGTAGTCAAATTCAATTAAATACACATTATTAAAGATAACTCAAAACTACTGGTCAGATCTAGTTTTATTAAAATTTATATGGGACTACATGAGAAGCATCAGGTTTCAACAAAAAAAAAAGAATCAACAAAATCGGTTCACCAAGAAAAAAGATCTGAGGTAACACACATAAAAAGAATACAGAACCTCCCCATTTTTTGAAGTCGGTTGAAAATGGTTGTCTTCTTAGTATGCCAGTAAGCCTCTGAGCTTCATTGAGGCCAATTATTACAATGATACAGACAAATTCTTCAATTTTGACAGCAGCCTGTCTTCAGATAGCTTTGCAATCTGTGCATGACGAGTTTATGCGCAAGTACAGGTGCACTCTTTATTTCCCTATAGTAATTTCCCATTGGACTCAATGGGAAATTAATTCGACACGATCGTAAAAGAATCACATATAATGTGTGACAGAGTGCGGTTGTTGATTTTCAAATAAAACTTTGATATTGTTGCACTTTAATATATTATTGACAAAGTTTCAGCTTAAGGCAATTACGTAACTAACAATGATCCAAGTCTGAGTTCTGCTTTTGTTTTCATACCCGCATTATGCAGTTTACAATTATTCATAAACGGAAATAGTTTAAAATCACCTACATTATTTGTTACATCCGGAATCTTATTTAATAATGTAATTACAAAAATTCATCGCACTTAATTATTGAATATACTATAAATCAAATAATAATGCACTTATTTAATCAAGTAAGTATAGATTTGATAAAAGTTTATAATTGAAACCTATAGTGTTGTCACTGTCGTTGACGATGCAATATTCAATCACATTCATTGATATTACATTTAATTAATAATAAGAGGTTTTGGTAAATTTATAATTACGACTGAGGACAGGAAACATTTGTTAACATATGCTTTAAATATTAATATCTATACATATAATAAAACTGTAGAACAGTTTGTAATTCTAATACTTTCTGGAAAAAACAAGTCCTGGCGACTAAATTAAGGGCACTGAATCCAAATTAGTGGTTTTTTAGAATTTTTTCTATTTGTCTTTACGTCTGGCTGTCTGTATATTCAAGATTCACGCACAGATTTCCATTAAATTTTGTTTATAGGTAGTTAGGGACCTGAGGCTACTTAAAGACTATTTTTTATCCAAATACGGAACTTTCAAAAAGGAGGGTTAAGTATTTTCCTTGCTTTAGATGTTGATTTCTATTTTATACGGTTGATGTGTTTTATTAAAATAAATAAAATATTTATAAATAAAGCCCTAAATTAGTGTTAACCGTTGCGTAATAAATTGAACTACTCAGACAATCTAAGATATTTTTGTTGTTTTCACTTTTTCAAGACAGTGCCATCTATACTAAAATGATATTAAAAAGTAGTGACATTTTGTCTCCAGTTACCAATAAAATAAATAATATAAATAAATTACATTTATATAGTTATTTCAATAAATTCATAATTGATTTGAAAATTCTAAAGTACATTTTTTAGTTTTTGTTATTTCATTTTAGTACATATAAATAAATTTTATAGAAACTAATTACTCATTGATTAAAACTACATTTACGGATTTTATCGCGTTTATTTTTAATTATAATTATTTTAAAATTTTAATTCCCGGTGTTAATATAATCTCTAAACGGTCAAAGTGCCAGATACTTGTTTTTCTTTTCGGATGGTTTTCTTACACAAACAAAAGAGACAGAGTGTTGTAAAGAACATATGCGTCGAGGAATTATAACCAGCTCCCCGAGGACTGGCTTACTGTATCTACACAGTTAATATAACCAGCTCCCCAAGGACTGGCTTACTGTATCTACACAGTTAATATAACCAGCTCCCCGAGGACTGGCTGACTGTGTCTACACAGTTAATATAACCAGCTCCCCGAGGACTGGCTTACTGTATCTATAAAGTTAATATAACCAGCTCCCCGAGGACTGGCTTACTGTATCTATAAAGTTAATA